TGGGGTAATAATATAGTGTAAAGCGCATAGAGCCTGCTGTTGAGCGGGGATATGCGCTATACAAATGCTATCTATTATTATTATTATTATTATGTCTGGCCTTATTTCTCTCACGGTACCCCCACTATGGCATCGTTCCTCCGCCCTTTGGATAAGATCAAAGTGTAGTAGGCCTATCTGCTCCCGATTTTTCGGCCCCTGGGCTGAGTCCACAGCGGGACTCGTACAACCTGAAGTTGAAACCTTGGCTTGTATTATATCTAGTGGATGGCAACGTATCTTTAAAGGATTTTTTTTTAACTCACTATGTTGGCCTTATTTCTCCCTCGGTATAAAAACTCACTATACCTGGCCTTAATTCTCTCACAGTGTAAAAATAACTCTCTTTGTTAGCCTTACTTCTCTAGAGGTAAAAAAAAAAAGCTCACTATGTTTCCTTTATTTTTCTCATGGTATGAAACCCCATTACACCTGGCCTTATTTCTCTCATGGTGTAAAACCCCAGTATGTCTGGCCTTATTTATCTCATGAGCTCACGGCATAAAAACTCTCTCTATCTTGCCTTAATTCTCTCTTGGTATAAAAACTCACTCTATCTTGCCTTCATTCTCTCATGATATAAAAACTCACCATGTCTTGCCTTAATTCTCTCACGGTACCCCCTCTCTGACATCGTTCCTCCGCCCTTTGGATAAGATCAAAGTGTAGTAGGCCTATCTGCTCCCGATTTTTCGGCCTCTGGGCTGAGTCTACAGCGGGACTCGTACAACCTGAAGTTGAAGCCTTGGCTTGTATTATATCTAGTGGATGGCATCATATCTTTAAAGGAATTTTTAAAAACTCACTATGTTGGCCTTATTTCTCCCACGGTATAAAAACTCACTATACCTGGCCTTTATTCTCTCACAGTGTAAAAATAACTCTCTTTGTTAGCCTTACTTCTCTAATGGTAAAAAAAAAAAGCTCACTATGTTTCCTTTATTTTTCTCATGGTATAAAACCCCATTACATGTGGCTTTATTTCTCTCGTGGTGTAAAACCCCACTATGTCTGGCCTTATTTATCTCATGAGCTCACGGCATAAAAACTCTCTCTATCTTGCCTTAATTCTCTCGTAATGTAAAAACTCACTCTATCTTGCCTTAATTCTCTCGTGATGTAAAAACTCACTCTATCTTGCCTTAATTCTCGCGTGATGTAAAAACTCACTCTATCTTGCCTTAATTCTCGCGTGATGTAAAAACTCACTCTATCTTGCCTTAATTCTCTCTTGATATAAAAACTCACACTATCTTGCCTTAATTCTCTAATAATATAAAAACTCACTATGTCTGGCCTTAATTCTCTCACGGTACCCCCACTATGTCACCGTTCCTCCGCCCTTTGGGTAAGATTAAATAAGTACCATCTGTTCCCGATTTTTCGGCCTCTGGACTGAGTCTAAAGCGGGTCTCGAACAACCTGAAGTTGAAGCCTTGGCTTGCATTATATCTTGTGGATGACAACGTCTCTTTAGATGAACTTTTTAAAAACTCACTATGTTGGCCTTATTTCTTCCACGGTATAAGAACACACTATTCTGACATTATTTCTCCCACCATATAAAAACTTTTTATATCTGGCCTTAATTCTCTCACGCTATAAAAAAAAACTCTCTTTGTTAACCTTGATTGTCTCATGGTAAAAAAAACTCACTATGTCTTCCCTTATTTCTCTCTTGGTATAAAACTCCAGTATGTCATCGTTCCTCCGCCCTTAGGATAAGATCAAAGTGTAGCATCTGTTCCCGATTTTTCGGCCTCCTGACTGAGTCTAAAGCGGGTCTCGAACTACCTGAAGTTGAAGCCTTGGCTTGTATCATAATATCTAGTGGATGGCAACGTGCTCTTTAAATTAATTTTTTTAAACTCACTATATTGGCCTTGTTTCTCTAATGGCATACAACCCCACTATTTCTGTCCTTATTTCTCTCACGGTATAAAAAATCACTATGTCTGGCCTTATTTCTCTCATGGTATAAATCATAACTATATCTTGCCTTATTTCTCTCATAGTATAAAACATAACTATATCTTGCCTTACTTCTCTCACGGTATGAAAACTCACTATACCTGGCCTTAATTCTCTCATGGTATAAAAGCTCACTATGTCTGGCCTTAATTTTCTTACGGTCTAAAACAACTCACTTTGTCTGGCCTGCCCCCAGGGCGTGGCGATGTGACGTACAAGGTTCCACTTTGGGTCTGCTGTCTGGAAAGACTGTGGCAGTCAAGGACAACTGTGCTGTGGCCGGGGTGCCCATGTCTAACGGCAGTCGTCTGCTGGAGGGCTTCGTGCCTGAGTATGACGCCACTGTGGTCACTCGCATTCTGGACGCTGGTGTGTCAGTAATGTCGTCTTAGGTTTAGTTTTAGTAAGAGTTTTATGGCACGTGCAATACCTATAGGTCATATGAGTGCTTTTGATGATTAGAGGTATGACTAGAAAGTAACGTATACAGAAAAGGGAGAGAGACGAAGGAAGTGAAATCGCTACCTCAGAGTAACAAAGTTCTATCTGACATTTCTGGCCATTTTGAGTTACTAAAATAATTAGGTCAGGAACCAAAAGTTCTATCAAAATTGTAAGATTATTCAGAGTCGTTATCAAGATAGTCAAAGAATTGAATTTGAAAAAGCTTGACATGTAGTGAAATTTAGAATTTTGGACGTCACATTTCTCAAACTTAGGTACTGAGTAGACAGAAATTTGTAATTCCAGGGTAGTTGTAGGTTTAGTTTTAGTAGTAGTTTTGCGGCACTTGCAACACAAATAGGTCTTATATCGTAAGTGCCAAAGATTAGAGGTGTTACTAGAGAGAAACGTACACAGAAAAAGGGGGAAAGATGAAGATGACAAATTAGATCTACGTTTGATAGGAAAGAGCGAGCAGACCGCACCAGAGCACCCGCCAACCACCCACACAAGTCATCTGCCGGTGTTTTGAAATTGAATAGTTCCATTTCAAAACCAATTATACGCCAAACCTGAGCATGTCAGGAGAGCCCCTTTCACTCCATAATCTTTTAATAAAAATTGTCGTGAGCATAATCTTTTATACATATAGATATACAATGTACGACATCCAAAATATTCAGGAAAGACTCCAGATGGGTGCAACAGGTCAAGTAAATAAAGTGCAATTAAGAGGCGCAATTTGACTTTAATTGACATTCTTATACCTCCCCCCCCCCTACCCGCCCACCCACCCACAAACACACACACACACACACACACACACACACACACACACACACACACACACACACACACACACACACACACACACACACACACACACACACACCAGGCGGTCGAGTGGTGGGCAAGGCATCCTGTGACGACTTCTGCCTGAGTGCCATGGGCTTCTCCGCCGTGGACGGATTTATCTCCCTTCCCGACACCCCTGACCTCCGAGTGGGCGGGTCTAGCGGTGGCTGTGCTGTACTGGTGAGTATTATATATTGGTATTATGTCACTGTTGTGAGACGTGCAGACAAAATGAGTTACTTCTCGCAATCCACAAATGGAGATACTGGCCAAAAATTGACACTAGGGTCAAATTTTCTATTGATGCCATATTCTTCAAGCATAACATGCTTTTTTATTATTTCATACTTCTAAACTGTAAAAACTTCACCTGTAATAAGCATGATGTATCTACATGTATTTCAATAAGGCTTGAATCTGAGAAACAACTCATTTTATCAGCACCCTTCACGTATGTACCGGTGGAGATAATATGGTCGCTTTTAAGCACAGGAAGGGGGGGGGGGGCTATCCCGAAAAATGCTGTTTTGAACAAACCGAGGGTAAAGTTTTTTAACCTTTTTCAGTTTCTTTAAAGGACAAGGAAAGTTTTCTCTATAACCAAACAAATATAATACACACCAAGGAAACCAAACTGCTCCTATAGGTAGCACAATGCCCACTTTTGGTGTTGGTCACGATTTCTGGACACCTGCGAAATCTGGGTTAGCCTGCTTGTCCATAAAAGCGACCATATCATGTGTGGGTGGATGGCGGGTGCTCTGGTGTGGTTTGTTCCTCCTCCTTTCTTTTTCAAATACATGTACATGTATCTATCGTTTTTATCTCTCCTCCTTCTATATTGTGTTTGTTACTCTCTTGTAACACCGCTAATTTTCGGCACTATTATGACTGTATTGTGCTGCAAGAGCCGTAAAACTCTTACTAAAACTGATATATTATTTCACTGAATGTTCTGATAGGTATATAATATGTCACTAAAGTAATGTTCTTGTAGGGAGAGGTCACTAAATGTACTGGTGGTTATATATGTCACTACATGTATTGGTGGTTGTATATGTCGCTAAATGTTCTGGTTGTTATATACATATATTTATATGTCACTAAATGTACTGGTGGGTATGTATGTCACTAAATAAGTGAACTGGTGGGCAAATATCATTAAATGCACTGATTTATATAGACCTGCTAGGAGTGAGTTTAGGAGTGAGTCTAATCTAGATAGGATAAGAGATGTTACCAGTGTTTTTGTGGTCTCTTCGTTTATATCACCAAATGTGCTGGTGGTTTTATATGTCACTGAGTGTACTGATGGGTATAATATGTCACTAAAAGTAGGCTACTGGTAGGTATTATATGGTCACTAAATTTACTGGTGCGTGTATGTCACTAAATATTCTGGTGATTGTATATGTCTATAAATGTGTTGGTAAAACTATGCCATTAAATGTGCTGGTGGATATAGGTCACTTAATGTATATATATA